ATAGGCGTGACAAGCACAATTGGCGCTTGTGCTCGCCATGTCACTTGGATTTTGGTTACACTNACTGCTATTCTGAATGGAAGACGAACGCGTGGGATTACCTCAAAAACGAGATTTATCAGCACCAAGGTCTTTATCGTTTGTCTTTATTCATGAGTCATGATGAGCTCTCTCACTCGGCAAAGAATTTCCAATATAAAAATCGCCACTAGCCAGAAATAGCTTAGAATTTGATAATAAAACAAGGCAGTATTATTCACTCCCGTCCCACTATAAATATTGTTCTGTGAGCAATAGCCTTCGCTTCGTCATCAGGGCATTCGCAACACTTTTGATAGGCGTGACAAGCACAATTGGCGCTTGTGCTCGCCATGTCACTTGGATTTTGGTTACACTCAAGTCCATGCATCATACAAACGCATACTTTTTGATCCGATCAATCATCTGTAGGCGACCGCGTCAGCCCTCTGAGTATAAATCATACATATACATAACTATGAGAATGTATAATAAACCAAATTCCTCTTCAATCCCATCCCCATTACCGTTCCATCGTATTTTACACCCAAAAAAAAACCACCTTGAAGTCCAAAACGTTCCGGCCCTCCCAATCACAATCCTTTTATTCTTAGCTTTCCGAACTATGCAGAGCTTACAATTTCTCCCTCCCCTCCCTTCTTGCTCTTCGAAGCTGCAATCATTCGCAATTGAGCTCATCATTACCGTAGTCTCTCGGTAAACCGGGAAACAGGAATAGAGTTATATTAGAAGTAAAGGCCTCCCGCTTTCTTGGAGATACACAGAGATTGACACTCATAAATTATGACGTGGTAGATGTGAAAAATCTGAACTTGATGACAATTCCATTTTCCCATTAACAAAATGGGGTTCAATGGAAATGCACTTTCTTACACTTAGGAATTATGAGAATATGGTAACCTAAAAAATTCAAAAATTGATGACAATTTAATTGTCATTGGGAAAATGGTTCATGGACTCCCTTACACTTATGACTTATAATAATATGGTAGATCTAAAAAAAATCAAAAATTGATGACAATTACTCTTTATCATGGGAAAATGATTCTCATTCTGTGTTGGAAATTCAGAGAGAATTGCATTACGGGAACTAGCTGTAGTACAAGTGAGGGCTTTCTTCCACCTAGTCGAGTCTTCTATCAATTAACCGACCCCTTAGAAAGGAACACTCAATTGTTCATTGTCCGTGTTGAGTATCGTTCCAGGATTCGATCCATGGGAAGTGCACGTGACAGTGCGCCCACTACCTGGAACTCGAATACTTGGGCGCATTCCAAAAGCCATCAACCCCGAAAACTTTATAACCCTTTGAACTTTATCTAATAAACTGCTATACCTCAGTTAAATGAGGAAACAAAAGCAATTTATCTGTGCCATAGGATCGTAAGCTGTTGAGTTTTCGAAGATACCAAAAATAGACGTTCCAACCCTCATAAAAACAGAAAAGTAGAATTTATGGACTCACTCAAGTCTGGCTAGAATCTCTGCGGCAGCTGCTTTTTGTTTTGCATCGCTTTTGATCATATCATCTACATCATGTCCTTTACTTCGAAGATACTGTAGCAGTTGTGTTGTCGATTTAAACGGATGTTTTTGCTTTTCCCAATCCAACCGTGTGGTTTTCCGTAGCACAACGGCCGTTCGAAAACTCTAAAACAAGTATTTGAACTAATACGAGTGTTTTGCTCTGACACAGTTAACTAAACCCTACTCGTCTTGTCTAACTCTGAGTGTATATGAAAAACATTGGGCTGGGGTCAAACCCTTACCAGCACTGATGGTTCCCGGACTAGCCCCGATCTCCAACACAGTACAGATTCTTCGTTCACTGGAGGAAGTACAAGAAAAAGAAACAGTGCATTCATTTTGGAGTACTCAGCTGAACGCGACGACCTCTTGTTCGACCAAATGATATTTGGTAATGATAAGTTGTAATATTACAATCAACAACAAAGGGGGAAGTGAAAAACAGCCCTTTTTTGCCCATCACGTTCCTATTTCATCAGACTTTCTAGTCTCAAAAAAAAAAGCTCCCAGAAGCTGTACGTCCAAAAGCTTTTCGTCAGAAAAGGCTCGGTAACGATGCTGCGCTAGAGGTTAAGGAGAGGTCCAAGGACGGAATGTTCCGGAAAACGGTCGCCTTTGCAATCTTGATGAAGTATGAACTCATTTCCTTCCTCTTTTCCTTTTTCGTTCGATCACCTGGCCATTCCAAGTCATTGAAGAACTTGTCAAGATGAATGACCTGTTATTGATCTGTGATGTAAGGTATTACAACGTTATCGGGCGAAGAACGTCAGGCCACAGCGTAGCGTTGGTCTCCCCTATCAAATGCCATTTCAATCGCCCCATGTTTTGTGATATAATCAGACGGGCAAAGGGTGGTTTTGAAACGTCGTCTTTCTTGGGAAAGCTACTTGATATGCAAAACTATGAATATGAAAAATGATCCCCAACAAGGATCTCCTTCCCAGATATCATAGAGCACCTTCTCAGACAGTGGCTATCCAATGCTTTCTGTGCGAAACGAAACAAGCATATCTTGAAGCATATCCTCACTGGAAATTCCGCTTCTAACATCCTAATATCAAGTCAAAAAACTTGGATCCTTCACGAATGGGTGGCAAATGTGGGAGATTTTCTCGACATCTTAGTGGATTGAAATGTGGTTAGTGGGTTAGGGGTTAGTCTTTTCTGTTGTAATTCCGATTCTACTCTGAACCTACCATTGTATAATGCTTCAACAATAGCTAAGTAACTGGAATGAAATGGTCATACATAGGTGCACAAATAGGAGCTTAGTTGATGTGACACTGGTTCGCTTCAATCAACACCATTTCGATCCTATTTATTGTTTTTTACCTTTGTAATTTCCTTTTCTAAGAGTCCTATTTTCAAGCCCTCGNATTCCGATTCTACTCTGAACCTACCATTGTATAATGCTTCAACAATAGCTAAGTAACTGGAATGAAATGGTCATACATAGGTGCACAGATAGGAGCTTAGTTGACGTGGCACTGGTTCGTTTCAATCAACACCATTTCGATCCTATTTATTGTTTTTTACCTTTGTAATTTCCTTTTCTAAGAGTCCTATTTTCAAGCCCTCGGTCGATAAGCTGCTTTCCATCGCAATTTTAGGGAATCATTTCCCGCAAGTTTTCTTATCTTCTTTGCACCCCAGCAGGATGCTCCCACTGTACTCAGTTTCCATCCTTTTTCTCAATGCTCCTACAAAATTTTTCTCCAGGAGTTCATTCCCACTTAAAGGGCTAGTAAAAGTTCGGATGTGTCTGAAAAAGGGTGATATCTAAGAGACAAAACTCACCGGTGTCGCACAGCTGACACTGGGCACTTCCGTCTCGGAAATATTCAACACCGCCGGATGTACTTTCACGGCGGCTGTCATCCTGGAACTATAGATTTATCATAATTATAAAATACAAATGGTACAAGGTCGAAAATGACGATGAAAGAATTTTGTAAAAGCGATATGCAATGCAAAAGGTGAAGAAAATGATCGCTCCATGAAAACGTCAAAGAAAAGATAGTGCTCAGCCCATATCGCGAGCCAAAATCATGACTAATCTGAAGACTGAAAAAGCAAGGTCTGAGAAAGTAGTCTATGAAGTTTAAGAAATCACATCCACTCTGACTCAGTTAAGTCTCACTTGGGTAGCTTACCTATCTTCACTAAACGAACAGCCTTAGACCCTACGTAGGCAGAATTGGCAGGCAGGTAGCGTCATTCGAGGCAATGTCGGGAAGATAACGCTGGAGTTTCCCGATACACCTAAGTGCAGAGGGCAACTCGAAGATTTGAGCTTGGTCAGAGAACAAAGATCAAAGACGCACAAGCCAAAGGAACAAAGATCTGGTGGGCTGGGCACATAATGTGATAGTGTCGGCTGTTGGACCAAGGCGGTTACTAAGTGGATCCGTCGAGACGTCTAACGAACATCTGGGCGGCTGCCAGCGCGGTTTTCAGACTTCTTCGAAAAAGCTCTGAATCAAAGGAATGGTCCGAGACTCACGAATAAAAGGGATCCTCTGGACTAAAATGGCTCGGGACGGGGACGAATAGACGTTACTGGTGCCCTTATAGCAGCAAGTCGATCTTGAAAGAAACGACAGGTGATACAGGTAGTAATTGCTTTCACGGCTTTCTTCAAGTAACAGTTTTATCTGGATGTGTTTGTTTTTCTGTCTTAGTGATCATGCGGTCTTGGAAAACACTGAATTCAGAGAGGAAGCATTTGTTGCGAAAAACGGAATACGCGGTCCAATGTAATGGTGTGTCTACGAACTCACACATCAGAAGTTGAAAAGGGGATCTTATCAATTACTGTTCCCATGACTATTTCGTTTTCAGTATTTGTCAAAAACATACCAGTCATCCACATGACAATCACTATGCGAGCCATGTGACTAATTCTACATAAAAGGAAATTCTTTGCACCGGAAATACCGTTGGATGCTTCAAAAATGAGATAGTGGCCGTATCTGCTTAGAAAATATGGATAGCTGTGGTTACCATCTCGACAGTCGTCTCAGACGACATCATAGCAAGCCGCAAGTGCTTATTTACTGAGAGCCTATCTCTGAAAGAGGTAAGTAGAAGGAGAAGCAGGAATGAACAAACAATTTACTCACAATTTGTGAAATTTTGAGTCAGAGAGCACCGCAGTTCTTCAAAGCATCCTCTTCTGACTGTATTTCCATAACGGAGATTACTCCCTATCTCGGAGTGCTAACGCTATTTTCCAGTGAGCTTCACTCTGCGGAATAAGGAGAGTCTGCGAAAAGTTATAAGCCATGCTTTTCTATTTCATGCAAAAAGAATCCTTCTGAGCCTTTTGATGTGAGATGACAAAACTTACAACCCTGGTACTGAGTCAGGGTGGGTGTGGCCCAATAGGATCGGTAGGAATCGACCTGTTCGACGTTAGCCCTGAATGAATCTTCGAGAAGTAACCACCGATGGGATTTATGTTTCTCATGAGTGCACCACAAGACAAGAAAACAGACCGTCTGGGTAAAACTGCTATTTGAACAGTGCTGCGGAAACAAGTATCACCCGTGTCAACCCTGTCACCTGTCGTCCCGCTCACTATCGAATTCTTTGAGCGGGGCCAAACCCCTAAGCTAGACCTCTTTATTCGCCCTCATCATATCTGATTTAATTTGATTTTCGAATTTAGTTATGGGGGGACGCGAGTATTCCACACCGACTATCTCATAGCGATAATACCATGGGTGACAAATCGACCCACAGGTGGACAGTCACACTTTTTCTCACTTCAGATATAAAAGTGGCAGTAAGGGCAAGACTTTGCCGATCCATATAGCCATTATACAGTGAAGATAGTCAATAAGAAGCTGCCGAAAAAGGGGAAATCTTGATTGGTCTGAACCTGATCCATGGAAACGCGCTTCGGCATCGCCAACAGCATATTGCGGCTACGCCAAATCAGTGGACATCCAGCCAGTGAAAGTATCTACAAGGTTGCTGGATTGCTCTTCACTGACGGCGACATATCGATGGTAATGACATCAATAAGACCTCTTCAAAGTTCTAGAACAATCGAGTATGTTCTAAAGTAAGCAAAACGATCTTGAAAAGTTTGACCAAGATAGATAAAGTGTTTCAAGACTTTTTCAGACCTTTCCCGGGCGTTTTACGAATTGAGAATCAGAGGAATCAAAATCAATGATGGGTAACTTGGGGAAAAAAGAGAGATTCCGATTTAGGAAGTGAAGAAGAGAGCGTTGTTCAAGGTGTTTTCCACCATTCTCGTTCCAGCTAATATTATAATATGATAGCGAAATCGATTACAACACGGAAGTCATGGTCAGTACCCACGGAACAATCAAGTCAACTGGAACTGTCAATCAGCATGGCGGAGAGTAACAATCAACCAAGCCAACCCATCTATGAAGAACTTTCCATGGGTATGTTCTAGTCTAACGACGTCATGTACTTCCAGTGAACGTGCAAATTGTAATAAATGTTCTGTATGTGAAAGGTCACGTCAACTAAGTCATCCAGGTTTTTCTCACAAAAAAAGAAAGGACCGCATTGAAGACATGATAAATTTGCTGGAAATTAGGTTACGAAGAACTCTGGGAAGTCAAGTGGACCAGCAAAAAGTGAGCCGATCGCTGCAATGGTGAATCACGGACGTTCGACGCTTTGAAACGTCAACGCAAAACAATGAGAAATAGCATCTGCTTATTCAGATAGGACGGTCATGAAGTTAAGAGAATGAGTAACGTTTGGGAAAGCTTTAAAGCACCTTAATTACTACATTCAGACTACAGTAAGAAAGTAAAACCAGAAAAAAAGCGTATTGTAAAAGGCCACCCATTGAATAGGCAGAATAGGCGAAAACGAATTCAATCATCAGGACGATGAGAGATTCCTAGGAAACAACACACAGATGTCGGTCGTTGAATAGGCGGGGCGTAGCTATGGTGAGACGTTTGCAGAGTTGCGATAAGAATGTTTGACGATCGCGTCATGGGGGAAAGCGTGATTGTCGTCCCAACGTCGTCGTCGCCGTCGTCGTATGAAGGAACCAAGGAAATGATGAAAAGCTGAGCGGACAAAAACGCGAGCGATCAAAAAAAAAAGATGGAGTGAGAAAAAAGTGCGGTACTGAAGAGAATGTTAGCTGACAACGAAAGGTCAACTGAGCTGGCTAGACTGGACTCTAACTAGCTCATTCCAGTGCCACTCTTGTGCTAAGCGTTTTCTCTAGAGTACCTATTTAATCATCTTCTACAAATACGCTTTTCCTTGAGAATTGTGGGAAGTTTTGACGTCCTTTAGATATAATTGAACTACGTAAACGTGTTTTCCAAGGAAATGAGTTAAAGGCACACTTCACGATAAAAATGGTTTTTGGGCTTTCTCCATAGGATGAATTTGGATCCCCTCTTATACCATATCTGGTGATATCACGTCGGAAAAAGGCTTAGTTAGGGCGTTACAAGGGCTCAAAGATTGGCTCGTGTGTATCTTCGGAAGAGTTTCCCGGCATTGTAGCAGTTGCACCAATCACAAGGGAACCCATGTAGGAAGTTCAAACAACTTGTCATGACCCTTAGAGGCAGTGAAAGGCAGTTCTGTACAGTTTTGGCTTGATGTAGTCAGCTCTTTGTGCAATTGCAATAACTGAAATCTCGTCCGAACCCCTTGCATGTTGATTCCGTCATGGTAATCTCGTTCACCCTCTATTTCCCCACTTTTGAGGAGCCTTATTTTTCACACAATCGGCTAATTTTCTTGCTTTCTTCACAACCAATGAACTATTCCCACCTGTACTTCCGCTTTTCGACTGAAATGGGGTACCTCAAAATTATCGCGAACTGTACCTTCAATGAAAGCCATATTATGAGTACATAGAATGGGGGAAATAGCACAATTTTTAACTTCCATTATGAGATATGACTCGTATTCAACTCCACTGCGACTAACTATCCCTTTCTTGTGTGTAGCGAAGCAAGTTCTGCTCGAAGAGATCAAGGTTCTGCTTGATACGAAGAGGATTTGATCCTGTTAGCAGCCCGAGGACATATGGCCGTGGTGGCTTTCTGACACCCTTCAATATGTCATGGGATCATTTGATCGTGACCAACCAAAGTGTGAAACATGAGTGGGACGATATAATGTCTCCAGCTGAACTCATAATCTAGATTAATAGAGAAGCTAAAAATTCCTTTTCAAAGTTTTACCTGAGTGTTGTTGATGATTAAGGGGNTGTCAGAAACTTCTAGAAAACATATAACGCATATATCATTATTTATGTACGAGTCGTGATGTCTGCTGATAAGGAAGAATCTGCAGTGAGACGACCTGCAAGCCAGACGGTCGATACCTTCCATACCATCACCTCACCTTCCTATCATCACCTCGAACTTCTCTCGATCAAAAACGCATAAAAGTAGTAGTTTATTAAACACCAGAAAAAAGACGATATCAAGCAATAAGCTCAGGCAAATCGGAAAGCTATTATTTATATCGTCATCATTATCTTTATCAGATACTAAGCGATAAAGCTAGACTAACCATTCATCCCTTGCAAGACGTCAGAACTGAAAATGCTTCCCAGCCAATTCCCCTTTGACGGACTCACGTTTAGTGAAATCGCCTTTGACACCTGCAAAAGTATAAACATATTGAGATGTGCTGCATACCTGAGAGGTGAACGGCTTTTCTAAAAACGGAGTTTGACGACGAAATCCGATCGAGGAAGGGGTTTAGTGGCTATTCATGGCTATCACTATCGTCATGTCTTTAGAGTATTTGTCAGCGTTAATGACGCGATACAAGAAGGTCAAAGTATACGTTTACGTAGCTGCTTACAGCGCTGCTGCATCGCTGTATCAGTAAGCATACTATGAGTA